AGAAGGCAGACTGGTACTTGTGTCCTGAACCTCACCTGTTATCTACAAAAAGACTTCTCAACAGAATTTAAGCAAGACTCAGAATCTATACATAATATTCAAAACACCAAAGTTAAATCCAAATTACTTGACAATACCATAATTACTATGTATAATTATAATGTACTAATAAAAAATTACAAAAAAATTTTAAAAAATTTCTTTAAAGTACCAGCTACAGGGCTGGGGAATGTAGCTCACTGGTAGAGCATTTGCCTACCATGTCTAATGCCCTGGGCTCAATCCCCAGGAGTGCTAAAACAAAGTACCACGAGGGGGGAAAAAAAATCAGAATTACTTGATAAAGAACTGGAAAATTTTTAACTTGCAGAAGAAAATCAATCAACAGATGCCAAGACTTGAGACATCAATGTTGCAATTATCTAACAAAGACCTCAAGTTAACTATTATAAAAATACTCACATAAGCCAACACAAATAAGTTTTCAACAAATGTTAAAATAAGAAATAGATATGAAAAAGAACCAAGAGGAAATTTTAGAACAGTAAAAAAAAGTTTTAGAAAAACATACAGAATGGACTCAACAGCAGAACAGAGAAGAGGCAAGAGCAATGAACTTAAAGATAGATGAAAAAAAAAATTACTCTGAGTAACAGAAAACAGACTTAAACAAACAAACAAACAACAACAAAAAACAATGAATGGAGCTCAAGAACCAATGAGACAAGAAATGTGTAGCATTTCTATTACCAGAGTTCCAAAAAGAGAGGATAAATTATACAGTGCTAAAAAAAAATATTTGAAGAAAGTCTGGCTGCAGACATCCCCAGTTTGGTGATGTAATCTACAGATTAAAGAGGATGATGAAACTCCAAATAGAATAAACCCCCAAATATCCACACCATCTGAAATTTTGTAGATGTCAACAAGGTCATTCTAGCATTTATATGGAAGGGCAAAGGAACTAGAACAACTAAAACACTTGAAAAAAGAAGTTAACCGAATCACCCTATGAGATTTGATTTTTTTTTTTTTTTTTTTTTTTTTTTTTTAGATGAGGTCTTGCTATGTTTCCCTGGCTGGCCTCAAGCAGCTCTGGGACTACAGGTGTGCAACATATATGCCAGCTTGTTTTTAATATTTACCACAAAGCTAAAGTAATCAAGATATAAGTAACCAATGACAGAAGAAAGAGGCATAGAAAAAAGCAACAGCAAAAAGACAAACGGATTGACACAATTCAGTGAAAAAAAGGACAGTGTTTTTATCAGAGTGTTGGAACATTTGTACATCAACAATATATCCAAAAAGAAAAAAATACCACACCAAATATTAGACTTCATAAAAAAAAATCTCAAATGTATCACATTTTGTGAACTATAGTTTATTCATATAAGAGAACACTACTTAGCAATAAAAAGGAATGAATTTTTGATACACAAAGCAACTTGGATGGATCTCAGAAGCATTATGTTTAAACATTCATATGGCATTCTCAAAAAGACAAAACTACAGAAAAAGAAAACATCATTGGTTGCCAGGGATTGTGGGTGGGCAGCAAGATAAATAGAAAGGGGCAGTGGAAGGAAATTGGGGTGAGGGGGAATGATGATACTTTTTTTTTTTTTTTGATACCTGGGATTGAACCCAAGGGCATTCAACCACTGAGCCATATCCCCAGCCCTTTTTATATTTTATTTAGAGAAAGGGTCTCTGCTAAGTTGCTTATGGCTTCCTTAAGTTGCTGACGCTGGTTTTTGAACTCTTGATCCTCCTGCCTCAGCCTCCCAAGCCACTGGGATTACAGGAGTGCACCACCATGCCAGGCTATGATACTCTTATGTATTAAGATTATGGGGAAGTTTTGCTGTAAGATAATTTAAAATAACATTAAAATTTAGTGGGGGGGCATATAGCTCAGTGGTAAATCACGTATCTAACATGCTCAATACTCTGGGTCCAACCCCCAGCACAGCAAAACAAAATAGTATTAAAAAGCTAAAATCTACTGAACAAATATATGTATTCTTCAGCTCTTTCCATTTTAACTGTTAAACATTGGGACTTCAAGATAGTAGATCAAAACCAATTTTGTTCTTCCTTTTCCTACTGATAAATAATGTAGTTTCCACTTTGCAACTTCATTAATATAGTGGTTAAATTATAGACAGAATAGGAATGTCAAGTTTAGCAAAAGATAAATATACTTAGTTAAATTTTAATTGCAACAACAAAAATTTAGTGGATTCCCTACTACTGCCCTTAGTGGATTTTAGTTTCTATGGTTAGTTTTCATCAGTTTTAATTGCTATATGAGGTATGGTTTTCTTTCTACTTATTCTACTTGGAATTGAATGAGTTTATTGAATTTGTGTGTTGATAGTTTTACCAAAGCTGAGGAAATTTTGGCCTTTATTAATGTAATTTCCCCCCCTATTTCCTCTTCTCCTGGGAATCAAATAACCTACAGTTAAACTACTTGATAATGCTCTACATGGCAGAGATTTCATGCTTTTTTTTTTTTTTTCTTTCCAATCTCTTTTTCCCCAGGTTGGACAATTTCTATTCAAAGGCATTGCTAGTCTACTGCTATGTTCAATGATTTGGTTCTTCTCTCTTTTGTTAAGTTTCCACTTCTTGCTTGAAAGTACTCATCTATACTCATCCATTATCACCTTTCCCCTTTTTTAAATTATCTATGAATAGTTCTAAAGTATGCTTTAAAATCTTTGTCTACTAATTCCAATTGCTAGGTTATGTTCTCTATTATATGCTTCTTTTTTTTGAACTATGTAGTCACACCTCATAACATTTTATTGTCTCTGGTCATTGTGAATATGTTAAGAGACTCATTTTGTTATCATATTCAAAGTGTTAGGCTTTGTTCTAGCATGCATTTAAATTAATGGATAATCATCTTGATTTTATGAAGGTTTGATTCTATATTATCTAAAAAATTTTATCCTTAGTTTTACTACAGAACCCTAGTCCTGGGCCTAGTCTTACTAATATATCACCATTCTGTGGGTTTGATGAAAAGCCCAGTGCTTATTAAGCCCTTCTACCTTGTTAGAAGGGCTTTTCAAACTTGAAAGTGTCTTCTCTTGCAATAGAGAGCAATCTCTGCTCTGCTTCTTAGCCTTTCAGTCATGACTTTTAGTGGATTCCATGGTGTCTTTTCTATATATGTACAGTCCAAGAGTCAGCCAAGGATTTAAGGAGACAGATTAGAAAACTCCTCCCTATTTGGCACCTGTTATGATTTGGATGTGAAGTGTCTCCTAAAAGCTCACGAGTGAGACAATGCAAGAAAGTTCAGAGGAGAAATGATTGGGCTGTGAAAGTCTTAATCCAATCAGTGAATTAATCCCCTGATAGGGATTAATTGTGTGGTACCTGGAGGAGGTGGGCATTGGAGGTGTGGCTTTGGGGTATATAATCATATCTGGCAAGTGGAGTCCCTGTTTCCTGATGGTCATGTGATCTATTTCCCTCTGCCACACTCCTCTTCCATGATATTCTTCTGCCTCACCTCAATCCTGGAGGAATGGAGCCGGCCTTCTGTGGACTAAGACCTCTGAAACCATGGGCCCTTAAATAAACTTTTCCTCCTCTACAGTTGTTCTAATCAGGGCCATTAGTCACAGCAGTGAAAAAGCTGACTAAAACAGCACCTTTGTTTCTAAGATCTACTACTTCAATTTCCAGCTCCTCTAGCAGTCCCCAAACCCATCCTCTAAAACCTCAAGACGGAACACGCAAGTTTCTCTTGCATCCTAGCCACTCTTCACCAGCCTGGGAATGCCCTGAGGAGGAAAGCCAGGTTAGCATAGTGCTCAGCCTGTTTTTGGTGACTCCCTAGTCTTTTTTGTTGTTGTTCTTTATAAGTATACATGACAGTAGGATGCATTTTGACATATTATACATATATGGCACATAACTTACTCTAATTAGGAACCCATTTCTGTGGCTGAATATGCTGTGCGGTTACACTGGTCCTGTATTCATGTATGAACTTAGGAAAGTTATGTCCGATTCATTCTACTGTCTTTCCTATTCTCCCTAGTGTCTTTAGACAGTTGTTATTATACTTTGCCTGAAGTTTATAATTGGAAGGGTATGTACATTATAAGCTATTCTACCATTACCAAAATAAGAAGGTCTTCATTTAAATTAAATTTTTGGTTTAATACCTCCAGAGAAAATAATATAGAACTGGTACTTACAGGTCCTCAGCTCTCTCCCCTTTTATGTCCACAGACAGAAAAATGGGATGTATCACATACATAAAAATCTTTTATCCCCAATAAGTAAAAATAATTTCTTGCTAATCGATAAGATCATGAAACTGGGGAATTTTTGTTCAACTTTCAATGAACCTACTAAGCAAAGAGATCAAATTGATTAGGCCATGGAAATACTCAAAACTAGACTAAGTGAACTAGCATGTAACAAAGCTATTTCTATTCTGAACTGACCAAAGTATAAAACTTTATGGTCGTGAAGTACAATAAATGAGAGTTATCTAGAACCAGTAAGAAGAATGTGACTACCTGCATAAATATGAAGGCATCTTTACTAAATTAAGTGCTATGATGGATTTTGACCAATCTCTTGTTGTCTTCAAATCTGAATTCTTAAAAATTTTATTTTGTAGTCAGCAAGTTTTCCATCTGTCTGCTTGGGTGTGAAAGAGTCTATTTAAAATCAAACAGCAACTGTACATGGTTGGCTGAACATTTATAATTCAACAATTATATAACTTCCAAAATACAGAACGAGTCACATAATTAAGATGTCAACTAACCAAGACACCCTGTTCAGAAAGCAGTCATTGTATACCATGTGCTCAGTTGAGCTCTGAGTAGGTTGCTGGGTGGACAGCTATTCCTTCCACCGTTGTTTATAAGTCCCGATACCAGGCGCTGTCAGGATTAACTCATCTTACAGTCAGGACAGCTGACTTTTTTATGAAAAAAAGAAAATCAATATGCGAAGTGTTTGTTACCAGTTCTTTTATTTGCTTTACTTTCCACTCCTACATTTCTTACCCTTTAAAACTAGGATTCAAGTGATTCACCTTCCACCTACCTCTAAGTTATACTCTGCACCAACTACCTTATATTACTGCTCTCAAAAACAAAATCCGCTTTTAAAATGATTCTATGGATGTCAATTTACAAGTTTTCCAGCTTAACTTGCTCCATGTGTGTACATCTTGAAAAGCTGAAAAAATAGCAACAACTGATGATAACATGGGGAAAAACTTACTGCCACAGGAAATCAAGCATTGTTGGTTTTTTTCTTCTTGCTTATTTGTTTCATATTTACTAGTTAAAACAAAAGACCTGCTTAATTTGTTATACAAAGATGTGTATATCCATATCTAACTGAAATTAATGTGCCAGAGTAGAAAATGTCCATGTTCAGAGTCCATCGATGCTTTGGGATTCTGAGGTATTTTCTGGTATGGAAAACAGACTTAGCATCTCCATCTCAAGTGGATGCAAACTGCCTCCTGTGATAACCAAGGAATGCAATGGTTCTCCCAAGTCCACAGTACACATCTGTTGTAAAGTGCCTGCTACTATTTTTTGGTCTTCAGCTCCAACCCTGGCTAAGCCAACACAGAGTGTCTCCTCTGTGATTGCTATTTAAAAAAAAAAAAAATACTGACATTTAATTCAGTAAATACATCATCCTGTTCAATATGCAAAAATATTAATACAACAAGTACATTTAAAGAAGCCCCCATTATCTTTAAATCACCTTAGCTATTCACTATAGATCAATTATTTTATTGAGAATTCCAAGGGATTACATAAGCTTACATTTTAAGGATTTAATAAACAGATGTATCTATTTTCCTTACAATTTCATAACATTTATCTTAAAACAGATTCTAAGTAAACATGTTTGTGACATACTTATACTTTCAATAAATTCTTGAGATAGATTAATATTAATCAAGATATACCAGAAAAACAATGGGATTATAAGAAAAATATATAGCTTTGTGTTTCTGGTTGGCCACCTCATTAGCTATGCAAACTTCAGTTTTCTCATTTTCAAAAATTTAATACCACCACTTTTAAATGGTAGTTGTGAAGGCTAAGACAATGGATATAAGAGTACTTAGTAAACTACAGAGTCCTTTACAAGTAATAGGCATTTTGGTATTATTTATGCTTTAAGTTCAGAATAACCAACTTGAGCGAATTTTAGTATCATTTACTATGATGCTACAGTTGAAGGGCTGACCTGTTACTGGTTTCATTGTTTAGTTGGGAAAATAGTCCTGATTGAACAGTGATCAAAATGGGGAAATGATTTATACCAGGAAAAGTAGACATGCAAAGAACTTGGCATGAAGTTATGAATGCAGAACATTCTTGCAAACTATGTTTCATGAATTTAGCAAGATTACTAATGAGAATAAAATATGCAATGTTACTCAAGAATTTCTTAATATTATCTTTTCTATCAGAGGACAAGTATTTAAAGACAGTATATGACAATATCCTTAATAAAGATTTACTGACAATACACATTTTATTCTATACTACCACTATATCAAGATATTAGGAATATAAAGATAAATTTTCTTTCTTTTTACCCTGAAAAAAAAAATTTCTGGTCTCAATGTTCAGAAGGAGTATAAGTCAAATAAAAATACTTTTACAGGACTGATCTCACCATTTATTAGAGCCAAAATCAAAGTTCTCTATTTTATCAAATTATTTATACATTAACATAATTATATCAAATCTGATTAGCTGGTGAAAAATCCTCACTTTCTGGAATTATGCTGATTTTACTATAAGAGCTCACTTATTTTTCTTTCATTAAAACTTAAAAGTCTGCGATATTCAGTTGAGGTTAGGAAAAAAGGACAAGAAATATAGTATAATGCAAAAACATTTACTCTTGCTTCAGTGGAGGAATATATATGTATGTACATCTGTGTCAGGCATTAAATTATAGACCTATTTCAATGAGCACCAGAGAAATAATAATACGAAGGCCCATACAGGGTCTTGAATACCTGGTTCTTCTCCTCGTAATCTTTGATTTTGAACAATTTCCAGAAGTTGCTGGGCTGCTTGGTTTACATGCATATACCGAGGAGGTTCATAAATCTTCCTGCCCCTATATGCACAAAATTAGAAGTCATTGTTCTTAGTCATGAAATTACACAATACGTTACTAATGCAATTACTTAAATCGTATAGCCTACATTCTGTCTGGAGTTTTCACTTGATACTCACTGGGTTTTTTTTTTTTTCCCCCCTTCTTTTGGCAGTACTGGGGATAAAAGCCAGAGGTGCTCCACCATTGAGCTACATGCCCAGCCCTTTTTTTCTTTTTGAGACAAGGTCTCACTAAGTTGCTGAGGCTGGTCTTCAACTTGCAACGCTCCTTCCTCAGCCTTTAAGTCCTGGGATTACAGGTATGTGCCACCTCACCTGGCTACTTGATAACGACTTTTAAGTACACAGTGGTGTTCAAGTTTTGTTAAGCTGTTTTACATTGCTCTATTTCAACTGTCCTCTGATCTCACTGAAATGATCACAGGAATCAATGTCTAAATCAATGTGTTCTTCATTTAAAGTGATGCCTCAGACAAAAATAATTTTTAAAAAGTTGTCAATGTGGCCTATTTTGTAGCTTAATCAGGTTCTATAGACTTTTAATTTTTTATTATTACTGTTTGTCATGCTGGGAATTGATTCTAGAGCCTGGCACATGCTAGGCATCTTTTTATTAACATGTTTAAACTACGTATTTCTTTTTTCGATTCTCCCCTAAGAAAACAAAAGGAGTAAAGATCTGAAAATCTTGGATATATGTCTCCTTTTGTATGTCTCAAAAGCCTACCAGGTTTACCTAATAATCATAGTAATCAAAAAGTTAGATGTTAGTGTTTTATGACTTTTTAAAGGGAAATCTGGTTGTCTATTTTATTAACATTATAAAAAAATATATAAAATATATAAAAATCTATAAAAATTTGGCCCACTTTCTTCTCTTTTACTTCTACCATTCAAGATTGAAAATTTACTTTACTCAGGTAAAGGCAGAATCACATGTCTAACATGAGAACTAAATATTTCACCCAATAAATTAATAGAATTTAACTGAATTAGGTTTGCTTTTTATTATTTTTCAGGAACAATAACTTATTTTTCCTACATGTTAATTCCCCTGTACTTTTATTTACTTAAATGACTATATAATGATCATCTCTTCTCCCATATTCAGCAATGAGTGCACGTAAGTGTAATTTATAGCATCAGTAACTGGATTCATTATCTAATATTCAATTCATGTCAAATCCCTCTATCATATGGTATTTCCATGGTAATTTCAGATATTTTAGTCACATGTACATTTTCCAACATCAATTGTAAAAATCAAGATGTTAGGGCTGGGGATGTGGCTCAAGTGGTAGCGCGCTCGCCTGGCATGCGGGGGGCCCAGGTTCAATCCTCAGCACCACATACAAACAAAGATGTTGTGTCTGCCGATAACTAAAAAATAAATATTAAAAAAAAATTCTCTCTCTCTCTCTCTCTCTCTCTCTCTCTCTCCCTCTCTCTTTAAAAAAAAAAGATGTTAATTTAAAGACATGATGAGAATAACACTGCACATTTATAGAGTTGCTGTTGTGAGAAGTCCTTGGACAGCTACTGCTTCCATCTCAATGTGTATTCCATTAAAGCAGTAACGTGGTAAGCAGCTCTAGCGGGAAAATTACTCTTAAAATACTTATAGATTTATTGATAGTACTAAAGTCATATCAGCCAATCAAACAGTTGCTCTGAACACATTAGTGAAGTCACAGCCTACAGCTTTCACAGTTTCATCCATGTTTGTAAGAGCTTGTTTAGTTTCTACTGTTGTCCCTCCTGATACAAGCTGTCCACTAGAAAGGTCCATGTCTATCTGTCCACAGATGTAAATAGTCCTGTCCACTAACACTATTTGACTGTAGGGACCAATGGCCCCGGGGGGCTTTCATAATGCTGATCACCTTTCTCATCAGGGACAACATTTCTAGTCCTTCTCTTTCTCTGGGAGAAGAAATCCCTACACTACTAGTCTCTGCTTGATTCTTGCCCAAGAACCCGAAATTGTTTTGATTATTCTACTAGCTCACAAAACAATTCAAAGTCAGTGCTATTCAGTAGAAATACAATACAAGCCACAACATAATCTTGAATTTTCCAGTAGCAACAATAACAAAAGTTTAAAAAGGCAAAGTTAAGCTGGTCGTGGTGGTGCACACCTGTAATCCCAGCAGCCTCAGGATTACAAGTTCAAAGCTAGTCTCAGCAACTCAGCAAGACCTTTTCTTTAAATAAAATATAAAAAGGGGCTGGGGATGTGGCTCAGTGGTTAAGTGCCCCTGGGTTCAATCTCTGGCATGAAAAAAAAATGGCAAGGTTAATTTTAATAATATATTTAATTCAACTCAATATCTCCAAAATATATTTTAATATTTATTCACATATAAATTATTAAAAAGACTATTCATACTGAGTTTCTGAAATCTGGCATATACATACAGAACATCTTGGATGTTAATTTTCTTTGGAAATACTTGATCTGTATTTAAATTTCATAAAATTTATGGTCATATAGATTTATATAATGAAGTTGTTCCAAACAACTTACAAGTTTTCCAAAAAATGGAATATCCATTTTAAATTAATTAAATGAAAAATTCAGTTCCTCGGTCATACTAGCCACATTTTAAGTGCTCATGAGTCTTGTGTGGGTAGTGTCTACTATATTGGCTACCATCTCTAAGCAAACAAGAATATTCGCTATTAATATACAAATGAGGAAATAAGGTCTCAGAGACGAACATGTACTGCCCAAGAGCACAATACTCAGGAAAACTTGGAACTCAAACTCATGTTTTTTGATTCCCAGTGTGTTAATTCATCCCCCAAATGCTGATTTACTATTAGATGCTCACCACTGTTCTCAGAGTGAATCTATGAAACCTACTGCAATTTCCACTCTATCACACTGCTTACCATTTCATAAAAGTAATGTTTAGCTGTTATTTAAAAGCTGATTTTCAGTAATCTTTAGAACTCATATCATTTAAGTAGAACTTATTGACTAGTTGAAAGCATTAAAATATATGTAAGCATTCTCAGAATAAGAACTTACTTGATTAGATTTTCCAAAGACTGCTCCTTTACTTTGATGTCTGTTGGAAATGAAAAATAATTCTTTTAATTTTAATTAAGTATACTTTATCCAAAACCTTACTGTAAACTTTGATTAAGAGTCACCTAAATTTTGTGGAAACATTCTTCCCAAATGTTTCCAAAATGTTCATGTGAGAGTGTAAAGTCACTATGTCCAGTCATTTTCTTAAGGAAATCAGAGAACAGCTTGTGGTTGTGTAAAGGCCACTAGTTAGAAAACAAACATGAGCTTGGCACTCAGACCCTCCTGCAGGGATCCAATTTCCTACTGGAAAAGAAGACAAAGGAAAGAAGTAGAAAAGTGTTGGCATGTACACTACCTAACAGCTAATCAAAATCTTTGTTTTCATTTTTACTTGCTGGTAACTATATAGACTCAACTGAAAAGTCTTGTCATATTCCTATTCTGACCGATTTGTCAGGCACAAGAATTAATGGATGCAACTTAAAGAGAAAAAAGATTCTTCTCACATTTTTCAAAGAAACTTCTACGTTCTTATGAATGACAAGATATGTCATAATTATGAAGAAATACTTTAATACCAAGTACTCGTACTTTTAATGGCTTCGGAGCACTGTGTGTTAGAGACTGTCCCAGTACTGGGGCATCCAGGAACCTGCTCAGACATCACGCTGGCTCTCACGAAGCTTGACAGTCCACACATCACAAATATTTGATCGTTTACACTTTTAATCACTGATGGTTTAGATGAATTATTTGGTAAAAGGTGAAAAAGCAGAATCTTTTACATCCTCACAGGAACTCTGCACACACCAGCAAGAGCAACAGCTGCTTCCTGTTTTACATGCCAAAACAAATGGTTCAGCCAAAGTTTGTTTTTGTAAAAATAAATATAGTGCAACTGAGGAAGCTTTGATAGACTTCTACAACTTTCTTAAGTGAATATAAAAGTTTTTCTTATAAATAATACTAACAAATTTGCTTAAAAATTACAGGAATGATTAATCTCTATATGTAAGATTTAAATGTTCTTGAAACCAGTGGTGAAATATTTTTCACATTTAAAATATCATTATTTAATACTTCCACTTGCCTGGCACATATGGGAATGTTATTGAAAACATGCCCTCTAATACAATTAATGGTATAAGTTGACTTTAAGATTACTTTTCAGTGACATTTATAAGCTTTTGAAAAGTATAACACATTTATTAATTTATTCACCTTAAGCTTCAGAAATGTCATTTGACAATAAGATCATTCATATTTTCAATTTTTAAAAAATATTTTAATGATATGCTCTATAGAATCTGATTTTTATAATAAAGAGAGTTGAGGAGAATTTTTACAGGCAAATGCTTTTTAGTTGAACATAAGATTGTATCAGCAAATTAGTCTTTAGCCAATCAGGTATACTATTTTTTTCTTTGTCATCCCACAAGTCATAAATTTTCCTCTTTTCTTCTACTTGTTAGAATGTAAGAGATTCTCTTACTCATCTTAGTGCCAGGATTTAGTGACAGTGCTTAATGTGAAGCACCCAGGTGATACTTCATAAATGTTTACTGGATAAACTTACTTAGGTGGCTCTCCTACTGCCCACACTTTAAACAATATACATTGTAATTCTTTTTTTTTTTTTTTTTTTTAATCTTCAGAATTTCTCTATCTTTGGTCTTGGAACTATCTATACAATTAACACTATCTGGTTACATCATATGTATGGGTGTTGGACAAGGAAATTTTAAATTCTCTGTGGTTTCCTACGATGATTTATTTTCATGGTTTATTGGCTGACAGGAGGCATTCAATAAATACATACTAATTTAAATGATGAGAATGCCAGATGATTAAATGATGAGATCTATGGTTTGAGGATTTGGAATCATGACATCCTATACTTCATACCCTGTTCCTGCTTTTGTTAATGAAGCAAGGAAGATATATTGTTTAACCTTGTTTGTCTTTTCCCAGGAAAGCTAAGAAAAGAGACACCTCTTAGAAAGAGAATTCAAGGGCCAAAGTTCTTGTTTGTCCTTCCTGTCTCGCCATACAATAGAACTTAATTGCTTTTTAAACTTTCATGTGCATAACACATTAGTTCCAAGCTAGATTTCAAAACTCTGAGAGTAGAACTCATGTTTAATACTTCCCTAGTATTCCAAAAGAACCTGATTCCACATTGAGCATGGAAGTAGCGCTCAATAAATACCCTGTGATTTTCTTCTTTTTTACATTTTTTCTTATGTTTTTAAACAGAGAACATTGTTTATAGCACAGTAATATAAATATCCTTATAAGCTCATTTTCTACCTGCCTTTTCAAAGTTTTCCAAAAGATGTATCTTGCTGACTCTCCTTTCCCTCATCTTTAATGGACTTATGGGAAGAATAGAAAGTAGCCTAACTTTTAGATACTTTTCTCCCTGTTTTAAAAACTCTCAGTCTTAAGCTTTAGAAATGACATTTGACAATAAGATCGTTATTGTAAAGCACATATCCACTCTAGTATCTGAGCACCAATGAATCCTCATTTTTATTCCTCAATTAAATACACTTATATACTTGTATTTCTTCTTTTAATAAAATTCCTTTTAATAGCTGGAGACTGTCCTCCCCTGTCAGTCTACTCTGAGTTTCAACCCACTGATGGATATATCTAATTTTGGTGCGGGCCACACCAAACTAATAAGTGTATTACAGTGTTCTTGATAGTAAGGCTTAGGAAAAAGTAAAGACCAGCATCTTCTCATGGGAATCAAGGACAAAACTATACAGCTAATTAATTACTAATAAAAGCACTAAATCCAACTGGCAATAAACTAAAATTAGAAAATATATCAAACAGCTAATTGTGGGACAGAGACATAAGCCAGATAAATACTTATGGCCCAAACAAAATCTAGAATTAATTAGGTGTCAAAGTGAATAGAATAAAGGGAATGTAATCTGGCTAGAACTAAATGCACTAGAAAGAGTTAAACATTTTCTGTGTTAATGGGTAATAAGACAAAGTCTGAGAAAATAAACTAAAAAAAAACTTTAACCAATTAACTTCCATAAATATTTACTGAACAGCTGCACTGTGCCAGAATTTGAGGCATTTAAAGAGAATACTAAACAAGCAAAATCCCTGTTCTTATGAAGCAGGAAAGAAATCAACCCAAGTTAATAAAATAATTCAGATGGAAAGAGAGTCACTGAGAAGATACAGGGTGCAGCACATGGGATTAGATAAAATTTCACTCCAGGTCAGGAGCTGGCAGATTTCTGCAAAAGTCTGGAATACAATTATTTTAGGTTCTGAACATCATCAAGTCTCTGCTACAAGTACTCCTCAATGCCACTGTTGCACAAAAGTAGCCAGACAATGAACAGAAATGAATGTGTGTGACCATGTTCCAATAAAACTTTTTTCACAAAAAAAGGCAGCAGGCTAGAGCTGACACATAGGCACCAGTTTGCTAACTCCTGCTCTGGACATTAATTTCTAATTTGTACCCCACAGGAAATACCACCCATTATTGAAAGAGAGTTATAATCTTTTCTATTAAGACATATTTATTGAATTTGATAGTGATTATGTTGTACAAAAGTATATATTATTGAATAATGTTATAAAATGGACATGTTATGCCAATAAATGAAAAGTTTTTGCAAATGAAAATCTTTTCAATGTTTTGCATATCTGTATTATTATAGAGGATAAAATCATGGGTTCAGCCTCTGCCCTGAACACATACACCTGGGTGATTTCACAGTATCAACAAAACAGTATAATTAAAAGTGTGTTCTTAGGACTGATGCCATTATGTGAGCATTCTGTTACCAGTAATTGACAAAGCAACAAACGAAGAGTAACTGTTTACAAACACTTATCTAACACTGAAATAAAAGAATAGGAAGTAAAATATTTAAAACACACACACACACACAAAATACATACACAAAAACAAAACAAACAAACCCTTGTCCTTTATCAGAAATAGTTTGAGAAGTAATGCTTCAAACAATCCCATAAGGCAATAGGGATTTCTTCTATTCAATAAATATGAAGACAAAAGTTAAGGAATGTTCCATGATATTCTCTAGCCAGTAAGTGGAATAGTAAGTAGAAGCACTAGGATTTTATCTTCTGATTCTAACTAAGTATCATTTCAGGGGTCAAATATGTCAGTTAGTGTGCTCTGCTCATCAGCTAGAGAATAAAGCTTTAGTACTAGTGTTTCTGTAACACATGCTATTAGAATAGGGACTAACAAATCTGAGTCAGTACATTTTCAGGACCTCTATTGAGGAACATAGCCCATGTCCTATTGCTTCCATGATGTTGCTATACAGAGAAAGCAATCCTAGCTCTTTCTATACCAAACAGGAAATAGGATTTGGACAGGATGGTTCAGTGAAGAGAACAATAAATAGTAGACTATCTGGATTTTACCAGTTTTGCCACAAATTAGCTGCATGGCATTGGGGAAAATTATTTGCTGTTACCAGGTTTTAACTTGATCTGTAAAACAGGTTTCAGAGTCTCTTCTGGATTTATCATTGTGTAATTCTGAAAGCGTCAATACTATAAACTTCAAGAAACACTGTAGAAAGATGCAGGATATTTAATGGTAAGAATGAATATAAGTCTGCTGACTTGCAATAAGTTAACAAAAAGAAGACCTCGACGGACAAATAGGTAAGATACGGGAAAATTGGAGAGGATCCACAGGTCATAAGAGGTAACAGCATGAACTATTGTATATATGCAGGAATAGCCATGTGGTATATGGAGAAGACAGTGTTTCCCTGAGAGTACAAGAAGTGACACATACACATAAAATTGCTAAACTGTGTCCTTCTAACTTATAGTTAACTAACCACAGAACAGTTTTCACCATAACACAAAATCTAAATTAGATCAATCTAACAACTCCATACTGTGACGTTTTTGTATAGTTTTTTAAATTAGTGTATTATGGATACACATAAAGATGAAATTCACTGTGGCATATTCATATATGTAAATAGGAAAGTTTTGTCCTATTTATTCCACCTTCCCTCCTCCCTCCCCTCAAGCCCCTTCCTTTATTCCACTGATTTCTATTTTCATGGAACCCCCCTTCTCCCCAGACTTTCTCTTTCTTCCCCTTATTTTAGTCCTACTTCCATGTATAAGAGAAAACATTTGAACCCTTGACTTTCTGGGTCTGGTTTATTTCACTTAGGAAGAATCTCCAGTTCCATCCATTTATCAGCAAATGCCATAATTTCATTCTTCTTTATGGCTGAGTAAAACTCCATTGTGTATATACACCACGTTTTCTTTATCCATTCATCTGTTCATGGGCCCCTAGGTTGGTTACACAGCCTGGCTATTGTGAACTATCCTGCTATAAACACTGAGTGGGTGTATGGCTACAGTAAGCTGCTTTAAGATCTTTTTGATATATATCAAAGAATGGGATAGCTGGGTCATATGGTGCTTCCATTCCTAATTGGGAGTGGGGGGTCTCCATACTGCTTTCCAGAGTGACAATGCTAATTTCTAATCCCACCAACACCATATTATAACTTTAAGGAAACTCCAAACTCTTACCTAGTAAGCATAATGTGTGCATGCCATTCTGTCTGTTCTTTTTGACTTTGTCAAAAAAGCTTTCTGGTCTCCAAGTGTCTGTCCAAAAAACAATAGAAACTGTCTCGCCAAATTTATATAACTAGAAAAAATAAAAACATTAATTAATGATGAAACAATTCACTACTAATTCATAGAAAATTTAATCCCTTTATAACTAAAATAAAAAGTGAAAACCAGAGCTGGTAGTGTGCTTGCCTAGCAAGCCCAAGGCTCTGGATCCCCAGTAGCACAAAAATAAAAAATAAGTAAAATGAGACCCAGACTTGATAGGGTCAGAGATCAATCTGTCACAATAAAAAGCAAGAGAAGTTCTCTGGTGCACAGTAGCTGGTCTCTTTCTGATGTCCCTAGCAGTCCTACAGTCAGTATACGAACATTTAACCTATTCAAATTTAAATATGTAATCACTGAAAATATTGAAATATGAAGAGCCTACAGAGGAAAATAAGACTTTTTCAAAAGAAGTTTTATGAGGTTAATATTATTATTCTCATTTTATAGATGAGACCACCAAGACTCAGAAAGATCAACTGACTCATCTAAGATCACACAGCTAATTAATAACTAAAAAGAAATATTCAAACTTGGGTGTGAAAGAATGCTCCTTCCTATCATATTATCTCAATAAAATTCACAAATTGCATACAAACTCCAGTCATTGTTTAAGCTTATACATCTTTAGCTTAGCAAACTTTCCCTCACTATAAAGTTTAATGATCAAAGCCTTTTCTCAAATCTCACCCTTTCCACCCAAGTGACCCACTCTAATTCACCATCACTACAATCAAGCAGTTTGTTTCTGTGACCCAGTCTTGCTGGACCAGTTCACTTAAGTTGAGTCAAATTCCAAATCTTATGCTAAGAAAATCTATTTTTAAATTCTGGCTGTGTACCTTGTATGATGTAAGTCTGTATCTCTAAAGTAGGAAGAGTGATAAAACACTGTCCCTCCTACTCTTAGGGTTGGAAGGATCAAATAATATATAAAAAGTGTTACTCAAACAGTGGAGTGATATACTAATATTAGTTCTTATCTGGGCACTGTGAAAAGGAAGTTTATTTTCAAAGACTTGATGTATGGTAAAAATAACACTAAACTTGTTATGTGAAGATTTAGTTCTTCAATTTAAGCAATGCTTGAAGGCATTCATAACAGCAAGAAAGTACTGAACACTGATCATCACATCTAGTCCTGTCAGAAATTAACTGTGTGCCTGAAATAGCTCTGTGACTTCAGGAAGTCACTTAGCTTCTGTAAGCTTTGTGTTCTTCATCTGGAAATGAAGAAACTGGCCTAAAGCAGGGGTTAGTCATCCACTGCTTCCAGCAACCTAGGCTTCTCAGATTAGTTTCAGAGGCTGCTTCAAGAGCTAATGGGGAAGCAGATAGGAAGAAAGTCAGAGAAGGAGTGGGTATTTAGAGTTCTTCATCCATATTTCCTTAGAGAAGCTCAAAATTTCTCAGGCTTTATATTTTGAGGTCTCAAAATCTATAACCAACATTTATAACATGACTTCAAGTTCTATAGGGAAGGTTCATCATGTTGCTTATAGGCTACAGCCTCCAACTTACCTATCAAATAGGGGCTTTATTCCTCAAGTCCATTTGAAAACTGTCTAAACAAGGTATTCTCTCAGAGAAGTCATGGTATTCAGTAGCCGTTCTGTTTACATGGTAGTGTGCAGAGACACACATTATACTTAAGTATTCAGAGTCATGAATCTTTTCATCACATATAACAAAATTTTTCTGTGAAAAATGTATTTTGAGTTCCAATGTGGGATTTCTGGGATAAACTCATCCTGCACCAAGATCACAGGAATGGCCCTACACCTGTTCAAGTTTGACTGTTATTGTCTGACGAGAGGCAAATTTATCCAATATTTAATATAGGTCATCTAGTACATGTATTGGCTGACAAGTCAAATAGTCTCCCTGACCCTTGGGAGGAAACTTCCTATAAAATGAGTATAAATAACTATAAAATTAATAACTGAGATCTTATAGGTTAAATAACAGAAAGTATATAGTGTCTCACACTGTAAAGACTCAGTAAATGACACAGATTTAATGATGCAATAATGATAATATTTATGATATGAAGATGTTCTAAAACACAATGCCCTGATATAACCTAGCTCCATTCCTTGTTGGAGTGGGCTTATGATATTACTATATATTTGAGACTATAATTCTGATACAAATGACTTAATTCTGATATATTCAACTGTATACATTCTTTAAAAAAAAAGATTTTTCACCTCTCTGATCAAACTTTGAAACATTAGTTCATGCGAAACTTCAAGGGAAAACAAAGTTGAAGAAAATTCTATATAAATGCTTTAAATGGGCCATATGTTTTAAGAGACATAGAAATACAGTCATGGAAACAAATAACTAAATATTTCATTCAAAAAGAAAGTAAAAAGTCCTTTAAAAGAGAATTGAGATGCTAGTCACATAGAAACACTAACTGAAGCGTTTTGTGTAAAAGTGTCTTTGAATTGTCTGACTTGGAGGATTAAAGACAACCTCACAGAAGTACTACTTTCCAGGACCCTGATTTATAAACTATAACTACTTCTGTGGCTGTGGAGCAAACTTCTTCAATGAATCCTGGAACATTATGCAAACAGTTTCACCATTTAGATGTCAGTACCTCAAAGAACAGAAGGACCAGTTCTTTATGTTTCACAACCAGAGGGTTTACCAGTAAACTATAAAAAAGAAACTGGAGCAAAACCACAAAGAGAGGAGAATTGAAGTTGCAGAAGCCTAAATACTGAGTTGCTTTATAAACCTTTGTGCTGTGATCATTTTCTCCAAAATATTATTATTGCAAATCTAAATTTAAAGACTATAAAATCGGTTACTTTCTAAGAAACAGTTAATAGACATGGGCCCTTTACATTTAAACCTGGAGTAATTTAGAGAATGCAGTTTATCTAATTTGATATTGGATTATTTTATCTATTAAAGAAAAAAACAAGTACTACAAAAACCCTCAACTCAAGATCATCTACGTATTATGCATAAGGCACAATCTAGTTAGAGAAGACGCACAAGAAAAAAAATAATGGGCAGTAAATAATAAATATCAAATATGAGGCATAAGGATAATTTGAGTTCATTATTTTCCCCATTAGACAGCACTTGAAAGTAACTTCTGAAAAGACTGGGTATGAGCTGGACTTCAAAAGACAGAGTCGAGAATTTGAGCATGGGGGAAGAATGATATAATATGAACTAGGCAGCAGAACAGCATAAAGCAGTTGCCTAGAAATAACTAATATCCTTGACTGGCCTCTAATCTGTATCTCTAATTGCTGACATTCTGCAAAGTGCCAATTCCTATCCATTACAGCTATATAATTCATACAGAAACTGACCACTCAATTCATTCCCTATCAAGTTGCTTTGAGCCCAAACACCACTTACCTAAGGGACCCTAACAGTCTCCCAACTCATCTTATGGCCACTAATAATTTCTTCCTTTCAGAAATGTAAATCTTTGTAACACTTTATTTTATCATTAGGTTTTAATGCTTTTGTTATTTTGTATTACAAATAAAAATATTTTCTATTATTCTTTGTTTAAAAATCTGTTAAATCTACGAGGCTACACATGTGTGTCTTAAATCAAATCAGTTAAATCTAGGAAGGGTGAGGGAAAGCCAAACCAGCAGAATTGTCAAAACATGCACCACAAAACCACATAATAAAAAGTGGCTAGTTTTCTCTTCTACACAGAATACAGATTTGAGAGTTGTGCTGTTGTTGTTGCTTTTATCTCAAATGAATTTTGCTTAATACTGATTTTTGCTGACACTAAGATTATGAACCTGGCCAACATATAGAAACAGACTTAATGGTTGAGCCTGACTTCATAAACAGAGGAGCTATAAAATTTATATTCTCACATAAAGATGACAGAACTCATTTAAGAATAAATTTAAAAAATCACATTTAAAACACATAATTCCAAAGACAAGCTCTGACTTGGGTGGAGAGATAAACAAACAATTCAACTAATGAAATATTTGCTGCATACTGATTGTATGCATGCCACTATGATAAAGTGCAATGAAAGGTGTAAATATGAGAAATCAAAGAGTCCAATAATATGGCAAAAGCATAAGTAATTCAACATCTGGCCAGGGTGGTGGGACATTCCTGTAATCCCAGCAACTCAGGAGGCTGAGACAGGAGAAGCATACGGTCAAAGTCACCCTGTCTCAAATTAAAAAATAAAAAGGGCTGGGAAAGTAGTTTAATGGCAAAGTGTTCCTGGGATCAATCCTATTCCCCCAAAAGAAAGAAAGAAAGAAGAAAGTAAAAACAAAGTATTTACCAGAATTTTTTTTTTTAGAAGAATGGCACACTGGAACCAGTTTAAAGATAAAACTATGAACTGAAAAAGAATTGGTAAGGTGCTATTAAAATGATTAGAAACAGTAGTAAGTAGAAATTAAAAGGAAAAGAAAAAAAACTTTTAATATACCAGTGATTTAGCAGGTAGTCAAAGGAAGTTCTTATATGACTAAAGGAAAATAAACAGCTAGATGAGTTCTAAAGTTAGATAACCATGTGGAGCTCTATAGACTTAGTACCCACTTAAGTGTTTTTGTACTAACTGTCATCATTCCTACATTAGCCCTTGGGAAACAATGAAACCAACTCATGCTTTTGAAAACAAACAGCAAGAACTACAAGGTCAACAATGCTGATTATCACAATGAGTGTTGTGGTATGAAAAGAAGGAAATGAGTTGCTAGTTTTTGAAAGTGATATATATTTTTTTCAAAGCAGATTACATAAACAAAAGCACATATGGCAATACTCAAGGTCACTCATGCAACCACAAGAGAAAGTGGGAGCACTTCATAATGATGAGAAAATTACAACCATTTTTTATTGGCTATTGCCTCTTCTTTCCACCAAAACATAAACTCCTTAAATACAGAGTCTGTATAGGTCAAGTTTACCTTAATAAGCAAATTATAAGTAAATTAACTGTTGAATGAATGAATCGTTATTTATCTTAAAGATGTCTAACTTGGAAGCCTCTCATATAGTTTACATTTTATAAGAAAAACTTTCATTAGGAATATGGGATTTGTGGTAAGGAATTTTTAAATTACCTATTTATGGTACTAGAAATTGAACTCAAAGACCCCCAAGGATACTTTACTGCTGAGTTACATCCCCAGTACTTTTTAAAATTTTGAGACAGCATCTTGCTAAATTGAGGGTCTCACTAAATTGCTGAGGCTGGCCTCAAACTTGTAATCCTCACCCTCCCAAGTCACTGAGATTATAGAGGAATTTTATTTTTATAGCACGTCTGTAATATAGTATATAAAACTACATATATATATATATATATATATATATATATATATATGATTGTATGCATATACAAAAGTGTTAGTTATGCCAATACCAATCATCATAAATACTGATAAACAAGAATCTTTTGTTGAATAATAAACTGCAAATGTAATGAAAAATGATTTGATTCTAAACTCTCCATACTATTCCTTTAGAAAACAACAAATCAATAGAATAGCTCAAAAAGGATCGATAAACTGATAACTTAAAAGTCTGTTCCCATTCTTAGGTTAGGAATTTCATACTACTACTCTTGAACCTGAGGCAAAGATGATGGAAAGCATGAATTGTTCAGGTCTAGCACAGCACACAAAGTGGTACCTATGTTTAACAAACTAGATGTCTGTTTTTGAAATCATGGGAAAGCTCTTTCACAGAGATGACAGAATGCATTTTGAAAGTAGTATCTACTTCCCTTTTAAAATCTTAAGCAAGAGAGCATGACAAGGTAACCTGTAACATTTCTACATTTGGCAAGGGTATTTCTAGATACTGTAATTTATTTTTCCAATCCTGCCATGCTACAAGAAATATAATACAATTCTTTCCCTTTCTAAATTTTTTATTCATCTAGGTTATTGGTTTTCAGTGTAGTAGCTGTATCAGTAACTTCAGTATCACCTCAGCGTCTGTTAGAAATGTAACTTCTTATATCCCATCCCAGATTTACTGTATCAGAAAGTCTAAGGATAAGACTCAGTAATCTGCCTTACTAGACCTCTAGGTGACTCTGAGGAATACTAAAGTGTGAGAACCACTCATTAAGGCTATAATTTTTCTATAAATACTAGTGTAAATAGTAAAGAGAAAAAGGTCAGCTATGGTAAGGAAGGGAACTTTGCCAAAGTTCTTGCATATTGCAGGATATCAACTAACTACAGATCAAAAATATTTGGGGGAAAACTACTTCTGTATTTTTCTTGTCATTATTCCCTAAATAATGCAGCCTGCCAGCTATTAATACAGACTTACATCGTACCAGGTATTATAAGTAATCTAGAGATGATTTAAAATAACAGGAGGATGTGTGTAGCTACACATGTGAATACTACACCATTTCATATAAGGGACTTGAACATTCACAAATCTAGTATTTACAGGGATCTTGGAACCAAGACACGGAGGGACAACTTAAGTGATCTTATAAGGCATTTTACATTAAAAAAAAAAAGAAGAATCAATAACTGCCTTTTTTTTTTCTAGGACATTAATGATTTGAGTGGTACAAAATGTATATTGTCGCAGAAATTTCACCAGTCCACAGACAGAATCTAGAAAGGCACTTCCTGTTTTTCATACAAGTAAATCATTTCACATCCAGATTAGATAATAAAACCAAGATGAGGAGAAAATGATTTGTGGCTGCTTAGAGAAATCCTAAACACAACTATGAGGAAGCCAAATATTTTTAAAAACTAATATTGTAAACATGGATATAAACTTAGGGACTTATATGGAAACTTCCAATTCTCACAGTAAATTCTCTCAAATGCCTTCATCCATTCTAGACATGAGAACAACGGCTTCTCTACCAGTGTAGGAGATCAGAAGAAAAGGTCAATATTTTTGTTTGGTTTAATTTTTTTTAAATGCTTAAGAAAAGGAGAAAAAAATTTAAATAAAATGCTATGATAATTTAGAGCAGAACATGAAAGGGCTAGTTACCTTCCTAATTAAAATCAATGTTTTAAAAATGTTTCACTAGCTTAAGGTTTACACGTCTTTATCACATAGAAATTTATTTCCCTGTTTTTTCCATTCTTCCAGGAATTATCAACTCTTTTTTTTTTAATCAATTATCAACTCTTAAAAGATAGCATTGTCTAAATGGAAGAATACTGGATTAAGAATCAAAGAGTTTTAAACCTCTGCTACTACCTACCTGAATAAACTTGGGAATATCTTTTTGGAGTCATGTTCTCCAACCCTAGCATTCATTATAGCACTAACATTTTATATTTCTATGAAGAGCATTCACCTTGCTGCAACCCAGCAATGTTCCAAGATCTTAAACTGTAAAAAAAGACTTGAATTGATGAGGGTTTCTGAAGTATGCACTTTAGACAAAAGACAGCAAAATTCTGTGCCGATTTAAACATAATAACTAAGAGTAAGTGATGAACCATGTATACTTTTCTCTGGTTCTGCACAATTAATTAAGTCAACTAAACTGAACTATTGTTCTAGGAAATACAGTGTCCTCTACAGATACAAACATAGCACTAGGGTCTGATGCTAATGTATCTCCTTGTAAATATCTATCTTTAAATTATGCATTTCAAGAAGACACACTAGGGAATATATTATATCACAGAGTCTAAGATGCACATTTTTCTATTGTAATATTATCTGAAATTGGAACGTGTCTTAACAATCACTGAAGTCTTAAAACCACTGTTTGTCATGTAGAAGTCATAGTTGCTGAGGATTATGCATATGTGAGCATCAGAACACAAACATCAAAATTGGAAAACTTGAGGATTATGCATATGTGAACATCAGAACACAAACACCAAAATTGGAAAACTCATGTCAGCAGCTTAGAAAAAAATCTTAGAAAATAGTTGTGGAGCACTCTTTTAGCTGCTCAAAACGAAGATTGTTGGAGTCAAAAATAACTAACTTTACACATCAATAATTGCAAAGCTGGCTTAAAAGCCTAACATGATTGGCTTTTACCTTTTATGGATTCTTTTAAGAAATACAGCATCATACTACTATTTTTTTCTTTTTGTGGTACTAGGGATTCAATTCAGGTTCTTGTAAGTGCACCACCACTGAGCTATATCCCAGCCCTTTTTTATTTTATGATAGGGTCTCACAAAGTTGCTCCGGCTGGTCTTGAATTTACAATTCTCACTTTAGCCTCCCAAGTAGCTAGGATTACAGATATGCACCAGCTCACCCAGTAAAACAATGCTCTTGATGCTGCAGAAATAATAGATAAATATGGGTCTCGGCAATGATGATTAACTCATTTGAATGAATATAAAAAGGCTCTAGGATAACTTAAGCAACATAATTAGCTTATGTTTTCCTTTTAATATACATACAAGTTGGATATAAAATCAAAATTAGTCTCTAGCTAAATCTAGATGGCTATTCCAAGAAAAGAGAGAAAACGTAAGTTATAGGAAAATTTGCTATAAAAAAAACTTAATATATATTAAATAGTATGCTATCAAATAGTAGTATATCTTATAATTCATGAACAACTAAAATCTACTTGCAATTTTCAGAAAAATAAAACATTTTCAGTTAATTCCATTTTAAAACTGCCTTGACAGCATTACCTGTAAACCACAGCAGCCTACAGCATTCATGATGGAGGCATTATGTATAACACGATAAGGGATTCCCAACTTTGCTGCTCTCAGAATAAGATCACTATGTGTCGTAGCTCTGTAGTGAGAAATCAGTGGATTTGTATTAAAGTTAATGCTACTTACTTTTAAAACAGTAGAAGTATTCTATTTCATTAGTTCTAACTGATCAATCAGTAAACTTTTCTTTAAATTCTACTAGTTGTCTGCATATGTCTTATCTGATTTTTGTTTCTTTTTTTTTTTTTTTTTTTTTGGGTGGGGATCCATCCCAGGGTTTTAGGCATGCTAAGTAATAAGAACTCTACCACTGAGCTACATCCCCACATCTTATCTGGGCTTTTTAGCAACAAAATATAAGCTTATACACATCCTTCACAAGGCTGAACTACAAGTATAACACAAGCAGCTACTGAAAAAAATGGAAGTTTATTTGTCCATTGCAGAATTTAACTCTTTTATAGTAAATTCTTAAACTCTTTGATCCTATGGCCCCTTTAAAATCTTTTAATTTTTAGTTTTACATGTTTATGGAATACAATGAGACATTTCAATATTACACGTAAAGATCAAAGTAATTGGCACATCTATTACCTCAGACATTTTATTCTTTCATCCATTCATCTATTCATTTGCTCTGGGGATTGAAACCAGGGTATTCTACCACTGAGCTACACTAGCCCTTTTTATTTTTTTATTGTGAGACACACTAAGTTACCTGGGCTGGCCTCAAACTTGTGATCTTCCAACCTTAGCCTGCACCACCATACCCAACTGCTATATCTATGTATCTATCTATCTATCTATCTATCTATCTATCTATTTATTTATTTTGGAGGTACCAGGGATTGAACTCAGGGGCACTCGACCACTGAACCACATCCCCATCCCTATTTTATATTTTATTTAGAGACAGGGTCTCACTGAGTTGCTCAGTGCCTCGTTTTTGTTGAAGCTGGCTTTGAACTCATGATCCTCCTGCCTCAGTCTCCAAAGCCACTAGGATTACAGGTGTGTGCCACTGTGAACGGCTCATTATTTTTTAAGTCGAATTTTATAATTATACATAGTAGTTGGGTGTGCTTTATCATTTCTTTGTGTTGGGAATACTCAAAGTTTTCTCAACCAGCTATTTTGAAATACTCAAGTAACTGAATCTAACTATGCTATAAAATATAAGAAGCAATTCCTCCTATGCAATTGCATCCTGGTACCTATTAAACATCCTTTCTCCACTCCTCCACTACATACCCTTGCCAGGCTCTGTAAACCACTATTCTACTCTCTTACTTCTTTGAGATCAATTTTTTAGTTTTTACATAAGTGAAATCCTTTAAATTCTTAAAATTACAGTTTCAGAGTTTTAAACTGTAGCACAACTAGATCCAATTCTTTGTTTCTACTCTATTTTGAAGGGTTTGTTTCTGCATTTTAAAACATGAGGTAGAATATATGATTTGCATAGCTTGTCAGTCTCTCAGTTTTATATTACAGTTCTGTCTGACAGAATTCTGTTTGGGGTTTACATCAGTCTAGCAGTCATTTTATATATAACTGTTTTCAGTCTGGCTACTATTTATAATTGGTTTTCACGTATACGTATGTATGTATGTATGAATATTCTGCCTGTTGCCTTTCCTTTCCTGAGATAAATCTCATGACTAAAATTAGGTAGGTGGGGGTACAGAAAGATATACACAAATACAAATATGAATATTGTGAAATGTACCCCATCAGTTTAGAATAGTACTACTAAAGGCTTTGTTCCCTCTTGATAAAAATTCCAGGCCCTACTGGGGAAAGCAACATTAGCATGTTTGAGAAACTACTTATAAACTAGCAGAACCTTTCAACTGGTCAATGCATATCAAGCAGGAAGATCAAGGGCTTATCCCCCATGAGGCAGACAGATACTGATTAACACATACCCACCAGGGAAGCCTGTTTTCAATCACATGGATAAAATAAAAACAAGCATTAAAAAAAAGCATCAATCTGATTAACAGTAGCTTTAAAAAAAAACGCCAGTTGCAAATAATATTTTTAGTATCACCTTGATCAGAATCTTTTTACTTATATTAAAGAGAACTGAATGATTACGTTTTTTTAATTTTAGATGTGTTATTGGTGAGTTATTTAAGTAGATGAAAAACTGGTTTACAATTATATCTGTCACAAGTTCATTTGAAATGACTAGACCCGGCTGTGCAGAGTGGTACACTCCTGTAATCCCAGCAACTGTGGAGGCTGAGGCAGACAGATCACAAGTTTGAAGCTAGCCTCAGCAACTTAGCAAGACCTGTCTCAAAATTTAAAAAAATCAATGGTACATAAAAGTAACCAGTTTGAATATATAAGACTGAGTATGTTTTAAATTTTATTTATAATAATATGTTTGCAAATAAAGTATCACCATATTTGACATATGGGTGCTGTTGGTCCAAAAATATACTAGAACTTCAAATAACATTGTAAAAACTATGTTCTCATGAACTACTGGAAGCTCCATAATCTGGTATTGATCCTTCTGACAGATAATTTGATAGTGTGTGTTTTATGTGCTAGAAAATGTCCAAGTCCACATCTTTTTATTTTTTTGATCTTGAAACCTATTTGGGAGAATCTACCATAAAGGAAACAATCTAAAATGTGGAAAAGTAGGAGAGAACTAAGGGACTGTACATATCAATTTATATAACAACTTTACTGGAGGAAAAAAAATGGACTCCTGATAGTGCTGAAAATCACTAGAAAATTATTAGGCGCTAAACATTGTTCATGTGCATTACATAAAATGGAAATAATCAAATGGCCTACATTAGGGCACACAGGAGAAAAGTAAATAAAGGTGTATAAATTTACAGATATATTAAAATATAAAATAGAATAACAAAAAAAAAATCCATTATTAGATAGAGTTTGTTTAATAAAGACCCCATGCAACAACTCCATTAGGACATAATGCTTGAGACTATCATCTCTCACATGATTAAGTCAGATTTATTGATGTACTTCTTTAGAGTCATTTACATTCTTTATATGATTAATTTCCATATTCCTTTCAATAATCTGGATAAAAGGGTACAGATGAGAACTCCATCAACCTGCTTAATTATGACTTCTAATTATCTTCTTCAAAAGATTATGGAGATGGATAGTGATAGTGACAATGCTTGCATAACAATGTAAATGTACTTAATGCCACTGAACTGCATACTTTAAAAAATGGTTAAAATGGTAAATTTTGCTGTGTGTTCTCTCACAATTTTTAAAATATTTTAAAAAAGAATTTAAGATTAAACATCCTGAACAATCTTCATTTTCATGTTTTATTCAAGTAAATAGGAAGTGTTTAAACAAGGGACTTTTTTAAAATCATATATAAAAAAGAATTCCAGTGCCTTGTTGCATTACACATTTCTTTCCTGATATCTCCATTTAATCCATTGAAACTGTGATTCTTCAAGGCTTCATTTAATAACATATTCTGGATGTGGTGACACATGACTGCAGTCCCAATTAGTCAAGAGGCTAAGGAGGATCATCTGAGCCCAAGAATTTGAGACCAGCCCGGGCAACATAGTGAAACTCAATCTCTAAATTAATGATTAATTCAAGTCTGTTCATTTACATGGAATCCCCCTTCCACTTTCCTCCACCAGGCCTTTAAGCTCTACCTGTGAACCCTATCCAAAGCTAGCTCAAGTACCAACTCCCCCATAAAGTTAGCACTTTTGAACTCCAAACATCATGCCTCTAACTTCACACACAATTTTCTCTCCTCATCTTATATACAAACTCTCAGCAGTATATCAAAGTTCACCAGTCTTTCTATTTTGAAAGTCTTTTCTTGGCTTTTGTGACAACATATTTTCTTATTTTTCCTTCCCCTCTAGCTATAGCTAGACCATGAAATGTACAAGCTTCCTAGGGCTTGAATCTTGGTCCTTTGTTCTTCCCTTCTCTTCTAAAATGATTCTATCTATTCCTCTGGCTTTAAATACCATCTACATATGAATAACTTCAAAAGCCATATTCCCAGGATGACTCCTCTCCTGAGCTCCAGCAGCAGATAATCTAACAGTCTATCTGACATTTCAAATTTAAGATGTTTCTAGAACCAATTATTATCTGCCCCAATCCTATTGTCTACCACTTTTCATTATTTCAAGAACTGGCGCCATCAACTACTAAAGTATAAAGCTGGAATCCTCAAAGTCACATTTACTTCTTTTCTTTTCCCCATCTATCAGACCATCCTGACATTCTTCCTTTTAAATATGTCCTGCCTCCCTGAAATCCATTTCACCTAAACATTTAGTGTTCTTTCAATAATGTCAAACAGACTGTCCCTGCTAAAAATCTAAGTAAAATTCCTGGTCCCTTCAAAGCCTACCATGATCTGGCTGCTGCCTATATCTGTGACACTTTCACATATTCCTTTTTTTCCCCTCACTCACTATGCTATAGCCACCTTAGCCTTTCAATCCCATAAGTACAATTTTACTGTTTCCTCTGCTTAGGATATTCTTTCCTTCTATACCTTTTCATTCTTCAGATACTGTCTTTTCCATATAACCTTATATAAATAAGTCTATTATTTCTTTTTTCTCCCTTCATGGGCCTGCCAAAATTTATTTTTCTCTGATTATTGTCACTTCCCCCACTGAGATATAAATTCATGTCTTATCATCCAGCATGTTGGAGTTCATAAGATTGGTGTACAAAAGTCATTTGTTAACTGGATAAATGTCAGTTCAAGATATTTCTGGTTTTTCTCTGTTGACCTTAAGCAAAATATACCAAAATTATTCAATTAATATTTAATTAATGCCAACTCTATATCTAGTATTGTGAAGGAAGCTAATGAGATAAAAATATGAAGGACAGCCTACAAATATAAAAGAAGAGTAAATGCAGAGGTTATAAAAAAAGTGTGAGGTACTATATGAAATGAGTATGAATGATATATGCCATCAGTAGAGATATAACTTCATGTTGGAATAATAAGGGACTATAGCATGGAAAGCTGAGCTTCGAAAGATAAGTAGGTTTCTGATAGTCACAGGTGGTTCACAAGTCACTCAAGATGAAGGACCTTGAACAAAGGTATGAAGGTGACAAAGCATGATAACTGGGAAAAAGCAAACTGGTTAACATAAATGTGGGCTTCAAAAAGAATGGTAGGATATAGACGGAAGGGTAAGTTGGGCAGTGTTTTTAATATCTGGCTAATGATAGAGCTAATAAACTTCTTATTTATAAGAGACCTGGTGAGTTTCCAAATTATGGTTTTTACAAATATGGATTTTACTACAGTATGGGTAAGGAGTTTATACACAGACCAGCCAAAAGGTGTAAGGTGCATGAGGCTAGATTAGGTATAAGAGCGGCAGCCAGAGTAAAAAGGAATGAAAGAATAAGAAAAACTTGGTAAAACACAATTCAACAGCAATGCTTCTCAAATTCTCTATGGTGAAAGGCTAATTTGTTTTAGATTCCAAATTATTATGGAACAACAGTTTTGTAAAATGCAATAAAAATAAACTATTATAAAAACAAAACATGAAATGGAGTGATACCAAATATGAGCCCTCATTTTTTATTAATTCAGTAGACATAAAATTTGCTTTTTAGATAGCTACAAAAATTTCTAAATGCTTTCTCCCAATTTCTAGTCTTATCTCATTATGGACTAGAACACACAATCTGTGGTCTGGCATCAGTCTGCAAAGCTCACTTCTAGTAGTGTTTTTACTGTGCAATGGACATTGTCAGTGATTGGATGCCAATAAAGTCAAAAGCTACTGAGTTTGCTCAACTAGGTGACTGTAAGAATTGTAGTCAAGTTGGGAAGTTTAGTGAGAGATTTGCGTACAGAAACTCAGGTTTTATGCAGAAGGAGTCAATGTTTAGTGAAAAAATTCTGTAAGAATTAGAAGCTATTTTTCTCTATGGGATTTTTCATTTTCCCATCCTATGGTTAAAAAAAAAAAAGAAGATAGGTACTATTAATTTTGAGAAAGCCTTAAGTTTAAGAAAACAATGTCAGAGGTTAAAACAAACTATTTAAATATTTTAAAATGTGTGATTATCCAAAGTTATTCCAATTAAGTTTAATAACGCTGCAGAGTATAGCCCATCACACTGATATAAATTACTTTCTTTTTGGCAGACACATACACATGTAACTCCATTGTTGTAAGAAACATTCTTGATGGTGGGCTCACAGTGATTTAATTGTCCTTATGTTCCTTAAATCTGTGACATAAATCTTGGGTCACCAGCTGGAGACAAAAACTATTGTATTTGGCTTGACATCAGAGATTGATGATGCTTGACTAGACAAGTAAAAGCACATCTTCTTGGTAATGAGGAAGAACAAGGCTCCCAATGGATATAAGAAATTGAAATCAGAAGCTTGAAAAATTATAAATTCAAGACACGTAAATGACAGTAGTATAATCAAATATTACATAATTTAAAAAGAAAAAAAAGCCTAAAACAAAGGAAGCCAAAGATGATTGTAATTATCTGCAGCAAATGGCAGACATGACTCTGGAGAATATAATAACATATTTAATAATGATACACTAGTTAAGGCTTTGATAGCCTACATCATCTTCTAAAGAAGAAAATCAAAGATACAAATTTTATAGTTGACATTTTTATAATGTTGTGATACTTATGATGGGTATCTTTTTACAAAGTGGATTTCCCTCATTAATCTCAAAAGATAATGAAATTTTAAACTATAAATTTTAGATAGAGCTTAGATAAACAACAGACTTTTATCTGGCAGGTAAGTTTTAAATGTAATAGAATAATTATTACTGATTAACAAGTAACTCAAAACGTCTGCTTAAACTTACCCAAATGGATCACCAACCACAAGGAATGCAACATCACTGACATCAGCATCCTTTAAAATATTATCTGCTTCTTGTTCCACTTCTTCTCTATCAGCAAGAATCAATTTTCTTCCATAAAAGTCTTCCTATAGATTTAAGCCCAATTTAAAAATGAAGGAAAGCAGGTGACCATTCTCCACCACCACCCCCCACACATAAAACAACAACAATAAAAACAATTGTTGTATTTGGGGCTGGTGTGAATCTTGGAAACTATCCAAACACAGATCATTGGATACAACTCATCAATGAGCTGGCACACTATACTATGTTGCAATTAAACTGTCTTTGAGGCTATCTTAATATCCCAGGAGGAAGCAGACCTCTAACATCTGAGGCCTTTTGCATTTTAAATTTACCTCTATATTTGGCTGTAATAGACCAGGCAGAACATTATAGGATGAATAGAGAATACATATGCATGATTACTACTTCAAAACCATGATAATACAGAATAAATATATTAATAATAATATACATGGTAGTTCTGGTTTTATTAAATTTTTTATGGGACAATCTGACACTCTGACTAAAATAAAAGGCAACATAAAAGAAATAACAGAAAATGATGATTTGACTATTTATAAAACTAGTAAATATTCCTACATAAATGCAAGAAATTCAGATTTAAAATTGTATTCCCTTGCTTCTGCTAGAAAGGCAGAGTTTCAGGAAAAACATACAGGAAGTTTCCATACAAATGGCTTTGGGGCACTAGAGAAACAAACCAAGGAGTAAGTTAATAAGCTGGTGATTATAACATAGTAGTTAAAAGTTTTTTTGCAAGATCAGAATCTTATAACTGATTTCCTATGGAGTAACATGCAATTCCAATGAAGTAAAGGTGGATACACAGATAAATAATACTATTTCTTATATGTTGACAAATTTTAGTTATTAAAAGTTATTCAGAGTGCTGTAGTGGGAAAGTTGGAAATGTTCTAGAAATTCACAATAACAATCTTCTTATAGATAAAAAATGCTTTCATTTCACTTTTACCAAGTATTTTTTTCTTAATCATTAATTTTTATATTCTTTACTTTGACTTTATGAGCCAGAAAGCTTAATGGTTGCAGAACACTTACATATTTAAGAGAATACACACACGATTACTACGAATTGAAGAAAACAATGGCCTTTTCTGAACCCGTTCTCCCGCCGCCCATTACTGGGGATTGAATCCAAGGGGGAGGCTCCACCACTGAGCTACACCAGCCCCTTTTATTTTTTATTTTGAGACAGGGTCCTGCTAAGTTGCAGAAGCTAGCCTTGAACTTGTGATCCTCCCGCCTCAGCCTTCTGGGTTGTTGGGATTATAGGCATATACCATATCTGGCTGAACTTCTAACATTTCTTAAAGACCAAGAAACCCCATGCTAGTAATAATTCTATTTTGTACTTTATTCTAACCTAATAAACAGTTCATGGTCTAATGAGACAACAATGTTTATATATACAAATGGCTGATCCTCTCAAAAAAATAATATTTAAAAAAGATAGCAAATGTAGTAAGAGGCTGATGTTAAATTATTTTCAAATTTACCCACATATTTAATCATTCATACACTCACTACAGAAATATTTCTTATGCACATCCTCCATACCAAATTCTAGGCTTGATATTGGGAGACGGTGGTGAATGAGACATACATTGCTATTGCTCTTAAGATGCATGCTGTCTAATGGAGAGTTAACTAGCACATAGACACTAATAAAAGCATCCAGTCTGGTCAGGGGTGAGAGAAGGAAAATAAGAAAAACAGGCAGTGCTATTTAACAAATAATTTTAAATTTGGATTATATATCATCCAATGACTTATTAGCCAGTTTTTGTAGTCTCAGCCCTAATCATTCATGAAAATGAACGTAATAGTTAAAATTCACTCTTGCTATAAGTTGGCAGTTTTTGAACAGAACAGGGTAAGTTTAAATTGTTTTCAGGTATTTCGAGGAGGTACACAAAAATTAGTAGTGACTGCCTCCAAGAAGGGGAAATGGAATAGAAATATCTTTATGTTTTATAATATCTTTTAGTACATTTTGAATTGTAAACCATTTAATGGACCAGCTATTCAAAAAATAATCAGAATAGAGGCTAAAAGTAGTATTCAGAAACAAATGAGAGGACAAAGTGTTTTTAAAATACTGTTTAAAAACAGAGAAATGGGTTTACAAAGAGACAGAGAAAATGGAAATGCAAGAATACAATTAAGAGAAAGTCATGTCTTAAAAGCCAGCTTCTAGCAGTAGTGGTCAACTACATCAAAAGAAGTAATAGAAGAAAGAATTCAAAACTATTCTCTAGAGTTCTCAACTCTGAAAGAATTGTTGAAAATACTTCTAAGAAAAGAGAATAAGTCTTCAGGAGTGTGAGACACAAGTGGAACTAGGGACCATGAAGGTATACTTAATAAAAGAAAAAGAGAATAATAACTATGGGGAAAACAGGTTTCAAAGAAGAGACTTTCAAAATGATCAAAGCTTGAATATGATTTCAGAATGAGAAACATAGGTAAAACATGAGAACTACATGGTAATAGGTTGACATAAAGAATAATGATAAGATTTTAAAGGAAATGGTTTTTAAACCATATCTAGATGGAGTTAGGTCTTGGAACAAGAGCCTCATCCCACAAGTCATTTTCTAAGAGTGGAAGGAAGATAGAGTCAAATTTGTGGTAAGGGCAGATGAAAAGTTAAAAAAGCTCATAGCTAATGGCCTCATTTTTTAAGTGTGAAGTCCCTTTTCTCCTCTTTCCTGTCTTCCTGATCTCAATCACAGCAGCTGGACAAGAAAACAAGGCAACAAGGAAGAGGTGGTATCCGGGTTATTTAAGTTACAAAGAAAGGGAACAGATACACTGGGAAAAAATGAAAGCCATTTCAATGAAGTCCAATGACAAATATAGCAAATGTTTGTGCTTTCCTCCTCTAAGCTCACAATGATTTTCCTTCATGGTAGAATGCTCTTTCCTTTATCAAATCTTATTCTATGTTAACATTATCTGTACTAAAACATTTACATTGGGATTACTCTGTGATCAGGCACTGTTCTAAAAACCTTATGCATATGAATTCATTTAATCTTGACCTCAATGTGAGATCAGCACTATTTTAATCTCAATTTTATAAGTAAGAAACGGAGCAAAGACATGTAAGTGATTGCTCAAAGGCAGAACTTTGGTTGTAGAACTTCACACATGCCACAAATGGGGGATAGACAGAGAATAATGATCTCTACTTTACAAGGTAGCTGGGGGTCCAAGTTAGCTTCCTCTGGCTGTGAGCAATTTTCTCCATTTATCCACAAGGATGAACAGATATTATCGTTTTGCACTTGGATTATAATGTAAAAACAAACAAACAAACAAAAATTTTAAAAGGTTGGTGTATATATACTACTTTAAAACGCAGCTCAAATCCCATATAATCCATCTAGTATTTCCTGACATTACACACTGAAGTAATCTTTCTCACATGTATTCTCATAGTAATTAATAACTAATAAATATTTTATATTTGGGACCACTTTTACTTTTAGTAGGTCAAAGGAAAGAGTAATGATTTAGATAAGCTCATCTCAGTTCTTTCCAAACATATGATTTTATAGCTTCTTCTTCCCATTGCTATTATGAATTGTTATCTAAATTATTTCTTAAACTTACTATATCTAGATCAATTATCTTTTGACCAGAGAACATATAAATAATACTACCTTTTTGGTAATTTGAGAATGATTTTCAATTTAAGAGCACATAAATTCAGATTTCTTTAGCAATGATGTGGTGGTTCCTTTTTACAAATATTATGTTAGAGTATGATAAAAGAAAACATTTCATTGTAGAAAATAGATAAAATTTTCCATATTTTTTCTCACTGTGTAATAGTTATCTATAGCTGAGACCAGATTGTATGTATAGGTATGTTAAGTACATACAAATCTCTAAAAAATCAATTTGTTTTAAAGAGAAAAGATAGAAATGAAGGGAAGAAGAAAAAGGAAAAAAAGTAGTTAACATAAAAGTGGCTCTGAGATTTTACTGGGTAATATAAAGGTATGAATTTATTTATAACTTACTTTAGTCTAGAAATGAGTCACTTATGGTAGATGAAGTTGTGTATAGGCAAGGTACTCAGGGAAGAATGTGAACTGAGGACCTGGAGAAGAATATGGAGCACATACCAGAAGAAATTTTGTGACATGGTGGGATTAAAGACAAGCCACTTTGGTTGAATCCTACCCTCTCTTTTAGATATTTTCTAAAGTTATACCTAGTGTAGTTTTTATCTGTCTGTAAGACTGCAGAGACACAGTACAGTATAAAGATCTAGAGTGGCGAATCTCAACTTAGGACTGCTTTGGTTAATAACCTGTCTCTACCACTCACACATTGAGCAAGTTTCTTAGCCTCTCTGTGCCTGTAAAATGTTAATAGTAACTAGCGAATAATAATCCTATTCTAAATGTAAAGCATTTAAAACAGTGCAAAGCAATTGTTCTATAAATGTTAGTACTTTTTATTGTGGGAGAACTAATATTCTTGCATCTCAACAGTGCATATATAATTTACTAATAGATAAGGCTAGGGCCAGATCTTGACTCTACAATAACGATGTTTTTTGGGGAAAAAAATACTTTAAAAAATTAGAGTAACCAAAATTGACATTTAGCTAGTACTTAAAATGTACAAAATACTTTCACATACATTTCAATAAAACCCTACATAACCTTCCAATTGATTAACTCCATTTGACAAATGAAGAAAATAGTGTTCAGAGATTTAGAAACATGTCCAGTGACAATTACCATTTCTAAATACTTCTGTACCAGGCACTGTGCTAAGAACCTATAAGAAAGATGTTTTTGACCCATTTTACATATTAGAAAACTAAAGTTAAAGGTCTTGTTCACTGACACATAACAGAGCAAAGAAAACCTAGGTCCGAACTTTCTTCCATGCCATACTGATTGATACCTTCTTTATAAAACTGCTGATTTGTTATTTTTCTGTTAGGTGGTTTTAAGTTCATTCTAATTTTTCTTGATCACTGATTACAGTGACATATTACCATCATCCTGAGGTTAGATATTTTGATTCCATCCTAAGAGTAAAAAAATGGGGCCAACAAATCAAAGCTGGTCATTAGAAAATTTTTTAAATTCATGCTTATTTCAAGGAACACGCCCTAATTCCTTCAAGATTTTAAAGTAACTCTGAGAACTTCAGAATTCTCTGGGGTATGAATCTAAGAGAAAGAGACTTGAAATTCTTTTAGTCACTTTTTTGTTTGGACAACATGACAAAGACAATTCTAAAAATCTACTCCATAACACATCCATTAGTCTTCTGAGCTTAACTCATACCCTACTTGGAGTTTGACAATGAACCTGAAACTGACTTCCTCTAAAATTCACTGAGCCCTTAAAGAAAACCAGGTACATGTATAACTACACTAACAAATTCTCTGGTTATTTAGTCCCAGGATCACTTAATATATACATGTATAAGATTTACTGGGAAATGTCTACTTGAGGTAAGATCTCTTTGGATGTTACAGACAGGCGATCAACATTCCCTGTGGAAACACTTCAAAGGAATAGGCTTTCAGCTTGCTTTCTGAATATATAACCAACTCATTAAGGTGTCAGCACCTCATTAACACTCAACTCAGAAAGGATTTCTTGGCTATCTCATGAAATAAGGGATTTTGATAACTATTCCCCCGGGAGTGTAAAATAATGTTCCTTTATTTGCTGGAGAAAACCACAATATGAGACTTTTATAGTAGAGAAACCACTGTTTTGATTTTTCAAGTCACTTGGTTGGTGTATGATTTTCTTTCTTTCTTGTACTTCTCAGCTCCTTAATGAATAGGAGATATGTTTTAAACAAGCAGCAGATATTCTATTCAGCCTAGTTTGTCAAAGTCAGACGTCAAGGTAGTTTTCTTTTCCTGAGACGGAAGCCTAAATTACCTACCAGGGATTCCTTCCCTACAGTCAGGACTGAGGTGTAGGCTTCCAGATACACTCGACTGCAGCGTCTTACAACTTCCAGGCCCTTCACTGTGATGTCCTTGGCATCTCCCAGACCCAAGCCGATCAGGTAAAGCATTTCGAACTGGGTGACTGCAGGACGAACAAGAAAAGCAATGTCAGCTACCCTGAGGAAACCTGAAGTCTAGTGATGGCAACAGAACAACAGAGTAGCTCCCCAGGAGCGACAAGGCACGAATGAGGTTTGAGACTCTCGAGTCACAAGTAAGGACTGGAGCCGTGTTTTAAACAATCTCACCAGTTGGGTCCAATTACCCGATGAGAGAATGCTAGCTGGTCCCCTGTGCTCCACCAAGTCCTAATTGCAGCAGGCCTTTCCGGTGAAGCAGCTCCGACGCGGTAGAGCTGCGCCGAGCCAGGTCCCACGCTGCCGGCCCCACCTACGGCGCCGCAAAACGCAGGCGCCTTTTGCCGCACTTTACGACTAGCCGGGAGGCGTGGGAGAGCCAGCTCGCGGTCGCCGGGCACCCGACCCCGACTCCACTGCTGGAGATTCGCGGGCTGTCGCGGTGGGAAGGCTAAAGGTCACTGGGCGGGGGCAGTCGGTCGAACGCCCCCAGCCTGCTGGGGAAAAAAAAAAACCCGCGTACACACGCTGCCCCGAATCAGTGACTTAAACATCCCCTTTCTGGTCCGGGGTAAGTGCGGAGGATCTTTGCACACGAGGAGCTCGACCCGAGTTGGGCTGCGGGTCCCCGCCCTGCGCCTCTGCTTCGCCTTCCTCCCGCGGGCTGGCGGACTAGAGGGACTCCCCTCAGTTGCCCCGGGTTTACCCCAGTGCTCGTATTTTAATCCCCGCCCTCTCGGTCGGTGGTTGAAGCCGCTGCCTGCAGGCGCGGTGTCAGAGTGGCAAACCCGGCGGTGAGTGTAGTTTTGATTTCCCAGAGGGGCAGTGACTCCTTGGGTCTGTCCCCAAGAACTTAGGCCGGAATCCCCCAAGGATCTGGCTTAGTCATCTAATGTGTCGGGAATCCCGGACTCTTCTGAAATGAGAAATGACCTTTAAGAGTTCTTAGGGATTTCAGAGCTCATCTCAAGTGCTTGCACAGGGGGAATTCTTACAAAGAGGTTGATTAAATAAAGTTCTGGTATCGGTTTGCTGTGAATAAAAATGTTGTCCCTAAATTCACTAGCCATCTTAAGTTAAAAACAACAGTTTTCATTGCTTATTTTGGTAGACAGTATTTATTGGTTGTTAGGAATTTTCCTGGTGTTTCTTCGAAAGGGCCCTGTGTCTTTTTGTATTGAGTTCGACCCACCCTTTATACTTCTCATGCTATATACACTCTTCCTAATTCTGTCTGCTTTCATTACATTAACTTATTTCTCACACCATATTACATTACAACAAAAAAAAAAAATGGGGGGGGGGGGTACTGGGTGTTGAACCCAAGGGGGCCTTTACCTCTGAGCGACATCTCCAGTTCGTTTCCTTTTTATTTTGAGATTTTTGAGAGAAGGTCTCGCTCCTGAAGCTGGCCTTGAATTTGTAATCCTTCTGCCTTAGCCTCCTGAGTTGCCAGTATTTCACTGGTCTTACTGGCACACGCTACCACGCTCAGGTGGGTAAAGACTTAAGTATGACATCAAAAGCACGATGCAGAAAAGAAAACAAAATAAAAACTGAAAATGTACTTCAAAAGATGCCATGAAGCTACACACTGAGAAAAGATATTTGCAGAGCATAGATCTGATAACGGACTGTGTAAAGAACTCTCATAATATTAAAAATATAGCTTAACTTAAAAACATGGGGAAAAGATTGAAAGCCAAGAAAAAGATTGAAGCCAAGAAAGATATGTGAATAGAAAAAAATCATTGTAAAAGAAGGTAAACATCAGACATAAGGATAAAAATTTAAATCACACTGAGATACTACTACACACCTATAAGAATGAAAAAACAACAACAACAAAAAACAAACCCCCAAAATTGACAGTCTACTTATGTAATTCTAGGTTATTCCTAATATTTTGCCAACTCAAATTTCAAACTCCCATCCAGGCCTCTTCCCTTCTACAAGTATATAACTTTTTGCAGGAAATTTTCACCTAGATAACCCAGAGGTGTATCAAATTCAACACATCCAAAGTGCAGTTCATTATCTTCCCTTCTGTTTTAGATTTTCTGTTGGTATTATCTATGTTGGTGGGAGGGGAGAGGCAGGATTGTGCTCCATACAATCACCCAACCTAGATACTTGGAAGTCACCAAATCTGTTACTTTTGTGTGTCTCAACAGAAACCATATCTACTTTCTCTGTATTGGTTCAGGTCTTCATTCTGTCATTCCTCTAGCTGGGCATCATGTCTCCTTTGCATTCAGCCTTCTCTGGGAGGCCAGGGAGTTCTAGTAAAGGTACAATGTAAAAATGTCATTCCCTTTCTAAAAATCCTTGGGAGGCCAAGAGAATGTTCAGGTGCCTTAACACCCCCCTGGATCATCAATGGTGTGGTTACTGCCTCTCTCTCTCTAACTTCATCTCTCTATGGAGAGAGAAGTTTGTTCTCCAGCAGTACTGAACTGTCTATAGTTCAGTGCCCACAATCTATTATTTTTGCTTCTATGCTACTTCCTGTGTGTGGAATAGTGTCTCCTATTCTCTCCTGAGTAGGTAACCACTATTCATCCTTTTAATACTAAATTCAGAAAGTCTTCTCAGAGGTCTACAACCCGCTAAGCTGAGTTATATGTCCCCTCTTTATACTTTACATATATCAGTTAATTTAAGTCTTTTTGTAACTGTTCATCTGTATTTCTTCTTTCCTAAACCAGCACTGTCATGAAGTCAGTCTACGTTCATATTCTCTTACCTGGCATGTAGAAAGTTTTCAATAAATGTTTGTTTATAAGTAGATCATTGTGTTTCCACTAGTAGCTGAGCAACTTCTTTGAGTTATGATTTATTTTCTATCTTAGGAAAATAGGGGTTGATAGGTTCTAAATAACTACCAAAATGTCATCACTAGAATATCGCATATAAACATGCCTTGCCTCTGCCACTTTGGAAGTGAAAAGCTTTTGACACTACATAAACTCATGTGTCCATTACTGAATAGATTATTTCCAGTGTGCTGGTCATTTCTATGTGTGTTTGTCTTCACATTTTCTCTGAATATTCTCAAGTAGATTTACTGTGAAAGGACATTACCAAAAAGAATAATCCAAATAAAGGAATGCTTTATTGCCTTTTATGAAATAAATCTATACTGAAAATGGAGTTATTCTGTATAGGCAAGGATTTGAGACATTGTTTATTTAGAGACAAAAGAAATTTCTATTTTTATGCTTCAAAATTCAGCCAAAAAACTTTCTTTGGCTATAGAGTTCTCAACAAACCTACCTTTCTACCAGACTTCGTTCCTCAATAGGGGTGTAAATTTTGTGTATCTTTCTGGAGGTAAATAGATAAAATAAAGGGTTTTTGGCAATCTTGTTTCTCCTCAGCTCAACAAATATAAGCAGCAAAGTTTTGTCTCTTATTTTGTGCAGAACTATTCTATAGATTTGGATGTTTCTCCTTTGCCATTTAAAATATATTTCAAATATGATTAACACTTTCCCCAACAATATTAGAAAAACTTTCAAACATAGGAAAGTTGAAACTGCTTTACAATAAACATGACATAGATACCTCCTAGGTTCTATAGTTGTTAACAGTTTACTGTATTTATCGTACATTAATCCATCCTCCTAGACATCAACCAACCTTATTATTTTTTATGAATTTCTAAGCGTGTTGCAAACAATATGTATATTATTGTATTTTACTTGAAGGATAAACTTCTTTCTAGGTAACAGATTTACAAAACATACCTAGGCATGTAGCTGATTAAATTTTATCATTTTTTGACCAGTTTAGGCTTGGCTTTAAAATTTTTAATTTAAAACAATTTCCAATTAGTTTTAAACATACATTGTAACAAATGAAAGCAGTCAGAATACAGATTTTCTGATAGCAAATTTAAAGTTTCATGGATAGCAGAAGAGAGATGGAGAGGATGGTTGTAGAGAATGGCAAATTTAGGACCAAAAAAAATGGATGAATTAAAAAACGTTTTGAATTGAAAGAATACTGAAGATGAATGAGGTCTGAAGAGTTTCTGCTTCATATTCCTACTTTCAGGTAAGACAATACTAAATCATTCCTGAGGGTGAACATTTGTGCATTTTCTGAAAGGTTTTATTTTGTTTTGTTGGTGGTGCTAGGGTTTGAAAGATATTTAAAGTGTTTTTATAACCTTTTCCAGTAACTCATTTTCAATACCCTTACTATAAGAATTTCTTCTTTATGTCTGAGACCTTCAGGCGATAGTCAGTTATACAACGTGAAAGAGACACAGAATCATAAGATAGTAATATTGATGACTTTTCCATTCCATTGTCATAAGCACATCATAAACTACTTTCAGTTTAAAGTAATAACATAGTTGAAATGCTGCATTATCTTTTGAACGAATTATAATTACCTTATCTAAATGAAGTCATCCTTCAATTTTCCTATTTGAGCTTGTTGTTTGTCTATTGAAAAGAAGCCATCAGGGGGACTGACTAAACTCCATCTGACCTTATTGTGAATAGAGAATATTATTTTACTCTGAAGCTGGCCTTTTAACCTACATGTTCCCAGAGGTTGTCTTTGTTAGAGGGAATCTTGATTAATATTCGTAAAGTCTAGAGACCTTGAATTGATTGATAGTCATTATTTTCTAACAATTCACAAATAAGTGATAGTTAAAGGCAGTGTTGCATTAGGAGAAGAAACTGTATTTACCAAGGTTGAAAAAGTTTTGAAGTTACCTTTATTATACATTAATTTATCTAGGAAAAAAAAGTTACTTTGTTTACTCAGTGATCTTATTTACTTATCACATTTTACATTATGTGATATGAAGTACACAAATGATAAAAAAAACAATCTAGAGATAATTTCTATGGGAAATTTTATTATTTTTATTAACTCTAGCTTATTAAATTGAGAGTAACCAGATGAAATAAAGTCAAGAAAAGCCCTGTTTTTGTAGCTCCCCAAGATGTTCCTTTACGTGCCTATATGTGTAAACCGTTTTTTTCTTTAAGCCATTTTATCCTTAACAGTTCCTTCCAAGTCTATTACTGAATAAGTTGGGTCAGGGATACATAATTTTACTTTCTCTTTGCTTAAAAAGCTATATGGTGTCCTTCTAAGTTTTATTTAGGGAAACATTTTAGATAGTCAATATCTTGTGGGAAAAGGACAGTGGGTGGCTTCCCTTTCACTCAAAATAGACTCTGTAAGAACACCCAACTTCTCTAACCCCACCTCCTACTCTTCTCCCTGCTCTCAACCACTACAGCCTTCTGTGGCTTTCTTTGTCTAGTTTCTGAAATCTTTGCCTAAGGTTTATCTCCTCAAGGAGTCCTATCCTATATAAAATTACAACCAGCATTTCTATTAGAATATAAACTCCACAAAGACAGGAAAATTTTTTTCTTCTCCATTTTATTTACTAAT